TCACAACTGGATTTCTTGCACGAAGGCATGTTTAGAGGGGACGCTGGACTGGTATATCATCGCCTGATATGGTAGGATGAGTTAACGGATTAACAGTTCAAACGTAACTCACGAGACTATTAAAAAAGTATTCATTCTGTGGACTAGGACTACAGAACTTCGATTGATCTTAATGGTTAAACGAGCAATTCTGACAGTTTTAAATAAAGAGTCGAATTGTTTAGTTAAAACTGTGTGTAGGCAAGTTTTGCGGCTTGAACGAGCTTAGAATTACAGTTTAGGTAAAATTTTGGTTTTAATAAATATTGACGTAAGTTATTAGAATCAGAATTTTATCTGCGATTGTACATTTTAAGTACATTATTAAAAAAACATGTTTCATTTAATTTTTCCAGCCAGAAATCTTGTTGCTTGGTAATTTTCTTTTATACAATAATGTGTGTATAAATTCCTTTCATCTTGTTACTTTGCTTTTTTTATACATTCCATCGTAAAAGGATGTTTCTGATAAACATGTCACGATTTTTATTCGCGTGATTTCTTTTATCAGGAAGTTTGGAAAAAAGAAAGCAACGGATCTTTTTGGTGTAGTTCTTTATTTAAAATTTATGTATTGCCAAATACTTTAATTACATGTTGTAATTTATGTTGGCGCCAAACATTTGATCGCCATACTTTGAATCCCCGATATTTTAACGGTTAAGGGTAGGGACATCTGATTACTCCATCGTGGGTTAGATTTCTGCATTCTATGATTATGGGGAACCATTTCCTAGTGCAGAAACCAGTAATAAATTCCCTAAAATCAGCTTTTCTTGTCACTAGCTGTTGCTTACCTCTTCACCCATGTGAAATTAAAAAATATAGCCTATGTTACTCTCAGATAAATTACCATTCATTCATTAATTATCAACCGGTGAAAGTTTTAAAAATCTGCCTAGTTTTTGTGTTACTTCAATACATATAAAAGTACAAATCTTTCCTCTTTATAATATTAGTAGAGAAAAAGAAATGAACCAAAAAACTACATTCTTAGTATCACGTTTTAGACAAATGAGTTCAACTGAGCGAACAAAAAATGCAGTCTTTTTTATTTAGGCTAAAACGTTTTTAATTGCACATATATTATTCACTGAATCAATAATCAAGCTAAATTGTTAAGCGCAAGGATAAAACCGATGACAAGCACATCAATACTATAGTGCGACTAATTTGTCTGGCCCGGTAAAACAGTTATTGCGGTTACTATCGGAATATGTAAATTTATTGTTGCATTCGTGTTAATATGTTTTTTAACTAAAGTAGTCCCGTTATTAAGGCGTTAAGTTAAACATGGTACATAACATAGGGTCTACACACAAAAGGATTTTGTGACTGGCTTGACACTAGCTGCCAGTGAGATACTTTTAACCGATCGTGCCAAAAAAATAATCGTACTATACGTACTGCAAATAAAATACCAACATCAGATATATCGATATGAAACCGGCTCAAGTATTTTGACGAGAGACTTTCACGTAATGAATTGAAAACTTTAAAAGTTAACATATTAGAGTGCGCGCACATCTTTGACTAAACCATCGCACAACTGTTTACTCGCGCTTTGATTCCTATGAGCATATATACTAGCAACTAAACAGTTCAATGGGGTACAAAACAATCTTCAATCGCACAATCAAGGGCGGATCCAGCTTTGGCGCCAGGAGGTG